TACGATTGGTTGATTATGAATACGCATAGCTTGAGAAAATTCCTTTCTTTTTGATTCAGGATTGTTCTAGTCGCAGTGATAACTGCAGAAAGAAAAAATATAGATCGATCGAGAAACATGCCACATTTAAAAGTGGATTTGGAACTTGAACTGTAAATTGTACCCCAGAAAAACTGAGTAGTATGTTGTGAACACTTCTCCACTTCCAGTATGAGGGTGGTCCCAGAAGTACTTAACTCAAGAAGGAAAACATAAACATTTTGGGAAAAAATTTATTATTTTTCAACATAATCCCCTTGCAGCCCTATACACTTTTTCCAGCGATGTTCAACGAGTTCGATACCGTTTTTACAAAAATAACTGTCTTGCTCCTCCACAGGAACAGAAAATAATCCGAGGGGGCTAAATCTGGCGAATAGGGTGGATGAGGTAGCAATTCAAACTTCAATTCGTTAGTTTTGGTAATTGTGATAATGGATTTGTGAGCTGATGATGAAACAACACTTTTTTCTTAGCCAACTGCGGCCTTTTTTGCTTCATTTCATCACTCAAACGTTGCAATAAGTTCGCATAATTCTCGCCGTTGATAGTTTTACCTTTTTTAAGATAGTCAAAGAAAATTATCCCACGCGCATCCCAAAAAACTGATGCTATGACCTTGCCCGCAGATGAAACGGTATTCGCCTTCTTTGGAGCCGGTTCTCCCTTTTCAATCCATTGTTTTGATTGTTCTTTTGTCTCAGGTGTAAAGTGATGGACCAATGTTTCACCCAAGGTTTAGAAACGACACAAGAATTCTGCTTTGTTACCGTGAAACTTCGCTAAATACTCAATTGAAACATCTTCACGACACTGTTTTTACTCAAGTGTGAGCAAACGCGGCCCCCATCTTGCACACAGCTTCCTCATGTTCAAAATTTCAGATAATATACGATGTGCCGCAATTTTTGAAATGCCTGCTGAGTCTGCTAGCTCGCGCACTTTCAGTCGACGATCATTCATTGCCGCTCAATGAATTTTCTTCACCGTTCTGGAGTCACTTCTGGCAAAAACATAACAATCTGCACTGATAGCAGACAAGCCCTATCAGCCTTGAACAGACAACGTGTTACCTCAGAGCTAGTACTACAGTGCCACCAAGATTTAGCCCAAGCCTCGGTAGATAATAACATTATCCTGAGATGGATTGAAGGGCACGACAGGAGTGAAGATAATCGCATAGCCGACTCTTTAGCCAAGGAAGCAGCTGGACTAAGAATTTCAGAACCCAGTGGCACCTACGGCTTGATGACTTCGACAATTGCGGAACTAGTCAAATGTTACACTCATGCTTAATCCCTAAAGAGATGGGATGAAATCAAAGGATGCAATCTTGCCAGGATCACCCTGGCCGGCCCTGGGAAGCTGGCGCCGAAGAAATATCTGGCGATGACCAGGAAAAATCTACGCTTAACAGTAGGATTTCTGACTGGCCACCGTCAACTAAGGAAATGCCTCCATGATATGGGGCTAGTGGACACACCTTTATGCAGGATGTATGAACGGTAAGATGAAACTGTCAGGCATGTCCTATGCAAGTTTCCGGAGTTATCGTCAATAAGAGAGTGTGTGTTTGGCAAGTCTTGGCCTACACCTGCCGATATAAAGGAGATGTCTCCTAGTGACCTGTCCAGTTCAGTTCAGCTTTTATATTGGTTGGACTGAGACCTTCCAGAAAAAAGTATGTACCATATTTTCATTTTCACAAATTCGCCGAAAACGTTCGCATTTGATGGCTGTCAACAAATACTGAACAACGCAGCGTCTTCAAACTTGAAACTTAAGCTTTATAGATTGTGTACTTTCTAATTCAGTGATATTTTTCAAACAACTACTGCCATCTCTAGGACAGGCCGGTTACTTCTAGGACAACCCTGGTAACATTACAATCCTCAACCAATTCCGTTCTTTGCGTGAAAATAACTCGTGTATTGCAGAAAATGAACTATGAAAAATCCAACCAATGTGGAATGAAAAATGTGTGTACATGTCCGGAATGTTCGAAAAGAAAACGGATAATAAATCATATGAAAACATCGGGGCTGCCTATCATATTTCAAATTTAACATTTATGTTTTCGGAAACGTCAACAGAGAGCCAAGAGGAGGAAATAAAAGTCATTCCAGTTCTTTCCTTCATATTTATTCCGTCACCCTAACTACGAGTAAGAAACAAAAGATGCCTCTGGGACAGGGCCGCATTTATCTCGAATGGAGCTAAGCTTCCATTATCGAATTCTCTGGAATATAAATATTCATTTCACGTTCCACGGGGTGATTAAGACAATTAGGAGCGATGTAATAAAGAAGAAAAACTGTTATATTTATGTACAGAAAACGAAAAACGTCAAATACAGTCGGGAAATCAAAAATTATGTTTATTTGCTTTGACTAACCACAAATAGGTAAGTATATACTATGTGAATGAATGTTACGGGAGTTTTTTCCCAACACTAAACCATTATTTCAACACCTCGACACATGTTTCGATCACCCAGTGATCATCTTCAAAAGAAATATCTTCCTCTTGAAGGTCGAGGTGTTAAAATAACGGTTTGGTGTTGGGAAAAAACTCCAGTTTTATTCATTACTACGCCAAAGGTTCCAAATAGTGCATCACAAGTATCATATGTGAATGTTATATTAAATTATCCAGTTTACAAACCACCATGGAATGTGGAAAAATTCATAGATATTCGAAACTTGCTGGTGAATTATTGATGACTAGTCTCTACTCGGATACGTCATCTGTGGTATCAGTAGAGAACTGATCACCACGAATATCAGAAATACCCACTTTGGTCCCAACACAAATTCAACCTGTTCGGAATTGTTGGCAATAATTTGCCAAATCATCTAAAGGAACAAGCCAGTCTCAACTCCCTACACTGTTGGTTGATGTACTGACACCTATCAGAAAACAATTACTCCGCTGGCTAATACCACGAAGGACGTTGGATTATATCTGACATTAACCTACAGTGTAGGGAGCTGGGACTGACCTGAACGATCTGTTCCTTTGGATGATTTAATTCATGGCCAGTTTTCAAGTATGCCCACTGACTATATGTGGAAAAATAATAATAATTTACCAGTTTGAAACTGTTGTTACCTGTTAGGAATTGTTGCCTGTTACCTATTGGAACGTGTTATCAGTTAGAAAGTGTTCTTACCTGTTAGAGATTTTTGACAAGAATTTACCTTACAGAAAGAGAATTTGTCGTGTGTGGAATCGACAGAAAACTGATCAACTTGAATATCGGAAGGTACCCATTTGGTCTCAACACAAAATCAACCTGTTCGGAATTGTTGGCAATAATGTACCAGTTAGAAATTGTTGCTTGCTACCTTTTAGAAATTAGTGATGCCTGTTACAAATTTTCTAGTTAATAGAGGGTATGCCATCTTTAGAATCGATAGAAAACTGATCACCACTTGGTCACAATACAAGATTGATCTAATCGGAGATGTTGGCAGTAATAAAGAAATTACTGAAAAAAACACTAACTTCAAAGTTTGTGCTTATCTAACAAACGGTCCACTTCCATCATTAATGTTATTTTCACTTTTTAGCAATACATCCATTCAGTTATTATCGAAATTTCACAATAGTTGGGAATTTCACTAAGCGGAATCTTAAAAGCCACTTAATATGCATGCATTCACGGTCACGTCAGTGGTAATTCTGAATTTAGAGGAGAAGTTCAAGTGCAGATACCAAATGAGGCACTTCAAAGCTGATAAAATAAAAAAGGCTGGAAAATAATTGTTATGCCTAATTCTGATGATGAAAACGACCGAATCCTATATATGGCGCTCCATTTTTTTTAAATTTAAATAAAACAATGTGTGTGTGAGATATCATCGAAATTTTCTATTCGTTTGAAAGACCTATTGATGCCATTATGTATGGAATTTAACATCGTTCAAATGTCCGCCACTTCTGTTCTGGATAGAGCGCATCCGAAACGTCCAATTTTCCATGACTCTGGCGCATAAATCAGGCTGAATTTGACCGATGGCATTAGTTATATTGGCTTTGAGGACCGCTGTGGTTTGTGGAATATTCACAACACTTGCGACTTGAGGAAACCCTAAGAAAAAAAGTCTAACGGGGTTATATCTCACGACATCCGTGGCTACTTCACATCACCTCTAGGTGAGATGACCATGATCTCGAATCGCTCGTGCAAAATATCCAATGTGGCATGTCGTTAGTGCCCAGATCATCCAATTCAGGAGAAAAGAAGTTAGTAGTCTACGACCTATAGTGCTCGCCGTTGATATTGATGCCCTGGCCAACGTCGTTCTCGAATAAATATGGACCGATGTCGCCGCCAGCCCTTAATCCACAACAATCAGTGAATTTTTTAATATGCAATGGACGCTTTTTTAGTGATCCACCACATTGCCAATAGTCCTCTAGGCACAATTTTGGCGATCGTAAATGGGCAAAGCGCGCGGTAGGTTGCCCAAACAGAACAGCCATTTGATAAAACAATTTTATCAGTTGAACGTGTTGTTGAATGCTCTCCCCGTCCATGGTGATGACAAAACATATTGAATAAATGATAACTAATTTGACATGGCCGTAATCATTCGCCAAAGTTTGGAAGCCTCTTTTGGAAAACACTGCACATAACCATTCCCATATCGTTACACAAACAGTAGGAGACGTTTTCCATTTTGTTCGACGAGACGTAACAAATCCGTTTTTCTTCGTCTGGAAAACAATTGACGATACACCTCTGTTGCCGTTTTCCTCCCGTACATTCTTCGTCTCACATTCGCCGCTTTTCCTCAGACATACTATCTGTGCGCTATATTGATTTTCCTTACGCCACGCCCGGTCAGAAGTTTACGTCACAGAGCAAGAAAGAGAATATCGTCGCGACGCCCGAGTAACGGCTCGTACGCAGAGAAAATCACAGACAGACTTTTCCGGTTCAGGATGATCGAGTATCAAATGTATTTCCGATGAGATTCCAGATGAGGCGATACGGATAAAAAACAAGTCCCATTTTCCCAAGATCCGCGTAAGTTGGCATTTTCAACAGCCCTTCTCCACTTGGAGAATTTGATGAAATATATGCAGATTAGCTCCGAGAGTTTAGCCGCTTTACGAATGTATTCACTAGTATACAACTGATGATCTCTAGATGTTAATTCCGAACTGACATATCGTACCATAATTTCTAAGCTTTGTCTGTTTGCCATAATGAACCTCTGAGTTTCCGATTTCAGCCTACTCGGCCTAAAGAAAGCGGTCAGGCGCTTTGATAAGCTGAGGTCCTCAATGTTGTTGAAAAATATCTCATGCATTGGCTCCGACTCGGTGACGGAGTTGTGATCACCTCGTTCAGTGTCGAGAACTGAACCGAGCAGCCGCCCTAAAAAGAAATGCTCAAATTCATGGTCTCTCATGGTCGCGGACCATGCAGGGAAGGGGATCCGAACTCCTGATGACTTCAAGCCTTCATTCAGTACCATTCTGTCATGAAGACACTCCAAACTAGAAACCCCACGGCCTACCTATTGTCGGGGAAAGTACAACCGGACGAATTTGGGATGCAAACTCCTAGAGAGGTGCATCATTTTTCGGGTTTTTACGTCGAGATGATACAGCTCCTTCCGGGTCCACTTCACTACTCCAAACGAGTAGAGTCAGACTGGAACGGCAAGCATATTTCTTACAACAACTTTGTTCTTACAATTCCGATGACCAAATCTGTCGGAGTTTGTGCTGATACTTGCCGCGGAAAGATTTCTTCACTGCTGTTACCTCTTGTGAGTGACGATCCTCCACCCCGAGGTAAGTAAACAACTCTCCGGCATTCAGATGATGCAGGATACTTCCATCTACGAGCCTCACATCCTCTCCGTAATCCCCGCATCGCCCTCTTTTGAGATGGACAGGTGCACATTTGTCTATCCTGAATGTCATACCGATAGCATGCGTGTACTCTTCCACCACCCTCAGGGATCTCGAGGACACCCCGGTTTCTGGAGGTGCCACAGTTATACCTTTGAGTATTTCTGAGCGCAACGGATAATGACAATGGTAATAAGCAGAAGAGAAGGGAACTGAAGAAATTGCTTTGAAATATACTCTTTCTAAAAGTGACCTACCCTATTTGGACTCCAGCCTGACCAGATGTTATGGTGTCCGCCAGAATGGGGTCAGTTGTTCAAGGCATCTCACTATTTTGTCGGGTACCGCAAGGCATCTGAGCAAATGCAAGATGAGCTCATGCGATGTTGTATCAAATGCCATGCGATAATCGATCTAGGTCATAGACAGGTTACGGTTATACCGTTTGTGCTGGTCAGACCCTATCCCTCGAAGCCCCGACATATTCAGAAGGGCGCGTCAGCATTATCAATCAACGACCAGCTGTCCGGCTGAGAGTTCTGCCTTAGTGCGGTCAGGTGGTATGATTTCAAAATTCGAGAATGGAGAGGGCTTCATTCCACCAAGGACCCCAATAATCAGACCAACCATCTTGACAGAATGGTCTAGCTAGAGTATGCGGAATTCGAAGAGAAAACCTCGATATTTCATCCGTTTTTCCTCCTCTTTTCGGACGATATTCGTCTTGCCAGAAGCTGAAAACTCTACGATAAATTACGTCTTGCTGTGATGGTCGAGAAGGACTACATCAGGCTTATTAGCTTGCATGAGCCTGAGAGTGGGGAACGGATAGTTCCAATAAATTCGGCACTGCTCTTTCTCCACCGGTGTCTCATCCATATCGTAAGAGTGCCATAGATGGTGATAAAGTACTGATAGGGCCGCGTTATGACGATGGATATAGGCTGAGATCGCATATGCTGGGCATGCTGGCAGCTTCAAGGGTCTCAAACGCCTCGCGGCAGGCTCTGCATCAGAAACCTCTAAACCCATCACTCGACTGCGGTAGACTGAATATTGTTATAATTATCTTTTTTCTGATTGATTCGGCCGTTACTTGATGAAAATCAATAGTAATTTCATAACATAGTAATTTCATGAACGTTTTCTTAGAAACTGATGTATCTTAGTCTTCCCAGACGTTGTATTATTGATGTAGAATTGACATAATATGCTCTAGGTAATCTTAATTTGAGGATGTACCATAGGTATATAAAAGTTGAGAAGATCCTCTATATAGGTTAGATAATGATGATCGAAGAGGTACTTCTGATTACGTGGGAAAAAGTTCTCAGGAAGTTTATTCCTCATAAACGCAGTTCTTCAGATGAAAGAGTTCTCAAACAGTAAAGTTCGAGGTATACTGAGTTGAACCTCAAAACGATGACCGACCACAGTCCGTCGCGTATTTCTGATATGTAACGCTCTTGGAGGAATCAAATATGCCAAGTCACTTGAATACCACCCGTTAAAGTATCTATAGAAGAGAGACAAATATCTCCAACCTTTCTTCGATGTTTCAGGCTATCAAGGTTGCACGTGATTTTCGCGTCTCCAATTAAGCGGATGGCTCTTTTCTGGATGGAATCCAGCTGCTTCTGGGTATGAGAACAATATTCCAAGGAAGGTCTGATCTGAGCTTTACAAAGCATCAAAAGTTGCTGAGGTTTGTGATTCTGAACAGTGTTCCAAGCTTTTGAGAAGCAGCCTTTGCAATTCCAGCGACATGATTGTACCAAGACATATTGATGTCCATTTTAACCCCCAACAAACTTATCGAAGCAGAAAGCGGAATGGTATGACCTGACATTATTATATCCGGTTCGTAGGCATTTATCTTCTTGGTGAAAACCGATGCCCGAGTTTTTGTGGCATTGAATTAAACCTGGTTACTTTCACCCCAATTCGAAATCACTTCTAAATCCTCATTAAGATATGTAACCTCTTGTTGCCGGTGAAGATGTGCCCCCGTAGCCGATGTCCTGGAATCCAAATGGAATGACGAGACAATTGTGCTGTCGTCAGCAAAGCAATATATTGCTTTACCAAAAACCAGACTCAACTGACGCAAAAAGTATGGTCAATGATCTGCTGTAATTGCTGATCAGGAGGCAGAGGCAAGGTGAATAATTTTAAAATGAGAACATGTACTTGCTTGTGGATGAAAGTACCTATCTGTAAGAAACTGTTTTGTCTGATATAATCCAATGTCCATCGTGGTATAAGCCAGAAAAGTAGTTTTAATGAAACACTACTGCACGTTATTTCGAAGCAGTTTCGATCTAGTTTGTGTTTTATTGAATTAATTTCACGCCAATTCTACCAATCAAGAGCACATAAGAGATTCTGTTGTGGACGAACATTGAAAATATTTGTTTTCTTAGTTCGCATATATATTTCCTCGAAAAAATCTAGTTTGTTCTCTATGTAGAAAAAGTTAAAACTTCATTTACACTAGTTGTCGCCCGCGACTTCCCCGCGTAGAATTTGGTTTGTCACACTTTCGTGACAGACCATTTTAAACACATAGTTACAATATTTTTTTATTCACCCAAAACTTCAAAATTCAATACAGTCTTTGAACCCTTATTAACTTCATTTACACTAGTTGTTGCCCGCGGCTTCCCCGCGTTGGTTTGTCACACTTTCGTGACAGACCATTTTAAACACATAGTTACAATATTTTTTTATTCACCCAAAACTTCAAAATTCAATACAATCTTTGAACCCTTATTTTCCCGCTTTGGGGCTGGAAATTCCTGATTCCCTTTCTTGATGTTTACTTGTGCTATACAAAGAACCTACCTGCATATTTCAAGATTCTAGGTTCAGTAGCTTCAGCTGTACGTTAATATAAGAGCGAGCCACAGCTAGTAATTTATGTTTACTTCAAAAATACAGTAACTTAAAAAATATGCCAACTGCACTAAGTAATAAGTGAAACGAATTATATTATTTATAAAGAAGTTCGCAAAACTAACACCATCGTCAATGACGTCTGCTTCACGAGTCTAAATGTGTTTGGATCGCATTTCCGGCGATAGAGCTTCATTGCTTAGATCACCCCTCTACCCCCACGCATCGTCCACCGACATCTTACAGTAGACGCGACGTATTACGTCGTATGTCTCACATACAAAGTTTATCTATATTAAATATTTGAAACGACAAATGTATCAGTGACAAATATATCAGTATGGCTCAGTATTTTGCATATAGTGGCTACCACATAAGAGGTAGATATATGCTATCGGGGACTATTCAAGATGAAAAATCTTACGGTACATTATCTGCATGTAACTCCAACGGTAAAGGCAGCGCCCGCCAAGATAGCTCTCAGAAAGCAAGCATTTTTCCGACTCACTTAATACTTATCGTTATATTATGACCAAATAACTTAAAACCTTTGTACATTGTAGCCCATATGTTATTATGATGTTAAGCGGCATTTATGTAAAGTTTCATCTAATTCCGTTCAGTCGTTTGGGCGTGGAAGAGCCACAAACATGCATACATGCATTTAACCATCCTCACAAACTTTCACGTTTATAATATCAGCATAGATTATCATTGTTGTTTCTATTAGGAATTCTATCTGTTAGGTTCATGTACCCATTCAACCACAAATGGGCCTCATCGCTCATTAGTGACAGCTGCCAACTGCTCCAGAGCCCATTCAGCGAACACACGTCGTTGTCTATGATTGAGTTCTTGTGAGCGACATGCCTCGGATTCTCCTGCACACTCTCACAGACAGAGGCGATATTTTCCACAAATCTTGCGTTTCGTCAACGTACGGGTGTTGGTCGATCGTTTTCTGAACCAGTGGACTCAAATTCATATGCCACATTGCGCATAGTCCTCCCGGTAGGATGTCTATGGCGACCTTACAATGGACGAAGCGCGCGGTACGTTGACCGAACAGAACACCCATTTCGATAAAACAATTTCATTATTTGCACGTGTTTTTGAATGCTTTATCCGTCTACGGTGATTTGTCAAAGCAGACTGTATAAATGTCAACTACAACAAGATAGCCGCTATCAATTGTCAAAGTTCGAAAGTCTCTGTTGGGAGATCCTATATGAGTAAATCATCAGGGGAAAAAATAATTATATGAAAGAAGCCCAGGCTTTCTCCTCTCCTTGGATAATTCGGCGCAGGAGATCAATAAATTATAGCTATTCATCAAACAAATACAGCTATTTCACTCATTATTCAAAAGCTGTCTCCAAATGGGAAAAGCAGTTACAGCAGAATATTCATATTACAATTGTTGAAACGAACATGGAACGTTATTTTTATGTAATTATTCGAGACTGTTAATTATAGTTTCCTGTGAGAATTCACAGCAAACGACACAATACACAAAAAATGGCCATCAACCAGGTATGTACTAGCACAAATGTACCACTTTTGATCAGCTTCCGGGCTTCTGATCATTCTGGGTCCTACCACATTATAATGACTTCATACGCC